AATTCCTAGTTGAATTTAACAGACAAGTCTTGATTTTATCGCTCAAAAGCAGCGAATTATTTGCTATTTCCACCGGGCTTAGCTATCTTTCCCTAGTATAGGAACAACCGCTCAAAAGCAGCGTAGTTTAGCTTGCTAACTCACAGTAAGCACATCATTTCTGATAGAACAGCCGCTCAATAGCAGCGAAATAAGTAAAAGTAAGAAGTAGAGATATCAATATGGCACTCTATTTTTACAAAAAGCCAGTTATTGCTAGCGCCACAGCCTTAGCAACTCTTTTACAAAAGTACCAGTGTTACGGAGCGAACCTAGAGTATCCGGAGAATGAGGAGGAGTTGCACGAAAAAGCTCTCGCTAACGTTACTCTTATATCGTCAGCGCTTAGTCGCATAAGAACCGCTGTCGAAACTATTCAAGAGAAAGTCGATAAAATAGAGAATCACTATGCTAACGCAAAAAAGTCTGACCAGAAAGAACTCATTATAGAAGTTCAGGAAATTGAAAAAGAATCTCAGTATCCGCAACATTTGGCAAATGCCGAGGCTTTCATTCACATACTGGAAGCTCAGTTAACTGAGGCCAAAGTAAATTTAGCAAAAGCTCAGAGAAAACTTAAATTGCCTTCGTCCACCAATGGCATTGAGGAGTCATCAACCCACAGTACTAACCAGACAAGCTGGTCTCAAGGGAACTTTGAAGATCCAAATTTCGAGAGCGCCGCAAGGATGCGGTCTATCAAACCGCCCAATATCAGCTTACCAAAATTCCATGGTAGCGAGGAAGAATTCCCAGAATACTGGGCAGTCTATGAATCCCTTATTCACTCGAGCAACGACCTGAGTACAATCGAAAAAATTGTTCTCCTCAAGGATAGCTTGAGAGGGAAGGCCGAAAGAGCCATCAAGGGGATACAGCCGATAGCAAAGAAACTATGAGTGGATGGTGAAGACACTCAAGGACAAATTTGGCAACCGTCCGGTCAACAGGTCAAAAATAGTGCAGAAACTTTTCGACTTGAAAGGCTGCCACACAAAATGCGAAAAGCTGCGATGATTGCTTAGACTCTATCAAAGCACTTGTGAATCAAATGGTTTCTACTGACTATGACATCAGGGCCACTAGTGATCCGATGTGGACTGAAACAATCATCAAAAAGTTTCCTTACACAGTAATAAAAGGACGTCCTGACGAAATACCAGGATAACAAGAATATTACCATTGGCGATCTCATAACGCTGCTGGAGAGAGAAATTTCTTCCAAACTCTTTGTCGAGACTCACTGGGGTGCCGACAGCGAACACTCAAAGGAAACGAGGTTTGCTCATTACACTAGAAGACAAAACCAAAGATCGCCCAGAACTGCGCCTTCTGTGACCGCAATAACCATTATTCTGCGACATGTAGAACCGTCACCAATATTCAACAGAGGCGCGATATCGCCAAGGAAAAACGCCTCTGTTGGAAGTGTTTTAGCAATCAACACTCAAGTAACCAGTGTAACAAACCTGACTGTCCCAATTGCGGTAACAAACACCATTCCAGTATATGTCTGGCGCACAGACCTTTCGGCAGCAGCACCAGACTCCCACCACTAAATCCAAGGTCGGCGAGAAATGAAACCAACCAGCAGAGGCAATAGCAACAGACCTCAGCGGTTTGATAACAGACCTAACAACCGTTCTAGCAATGATGCAAGGAGAACGCAACAGACCAACACACAGGTCATTCTGAATGGCAGGATTACGACCGCTCTCCAGTCCTCGACAGCAGTAAGAATGAACAATTGATTCTAATGACTGCAGAGGGAAATCTCTGGAATAACAAAGCAAAGAAGTTTGAGAAAGTGCTATTCTTCTTTGATACTGGAGCTCACAAAACCATAATTGAGGAAAAATTGGCTAAGCGATTTTGGACTACCGCAGCTTTCTTCGGAAACCTGCACTATGTCAGGCCTAGGAGGTCACATAGAACGATTCAATAGCACACTAGTCCCAGTGAGGGTTCAATCCGCATACGGTAAAGAAATCTGTTTCACTGTTCAAACCAAACCAGTCATAACAGGAGGATTCCCTTCGGTTAGACTAACCGAGCAAGATGCCAGTTTTCTTGAGGCATAACCAGATCTGCGTTGCAAACTCCAAATTACAAGGAGAGCGACAAGTGCCCAGAATTTTAGTGGGACTCGACAGATATTATGACCTAGTCATCGAAGATGGAGCTCCACAGAGCACACCTTCAGGATTGCGTATCGCGAAAACTTTATTCGGTCCAACAATTTATGGCCGTGGCAAGCTAGATAGCCCCACAGACCAGCCGGTTTCCTACGGGTTGACGGCCATTCATGAAGGCTCAGAGAATCAAATACTAGAAAAACTCTTTGAACTGGAAGGGCTAGGAATTTCCTCTGACGAACATGCCACTGACGACAAAGTTCAGCAGTATTTTGAGAACTACTCGAACTCAATATCGTTCGATAAAGGTTATGTCACAGCACCATTTCCCTTGAAATGCAATGTCTCAGAACTTGAAGGACAATTATTCCATCGCTATAAAAAGGTTAGCGTCCTTACAGAATCAGCTGAAACTGAATCACGATCAGGCATATTGGTATTCTAAGATTCTGAAAGACTATGAAAAGCAAGGAATCATTGAACAAGTCTTCCAAAAAGATCAAGATGCTGTAGGCACATACTATATGCCGCACTCAGCCGTATGGCGCCCTCATAAGGCCACGCCATTGAGAATAGTCTTCGATGCCTCGTCCAAGAAAAAAGGACAGTTCTCATTGAACGATGTCATTCACAAAGGGAATCATTCGTGAACAAAATTCATGAACGTACTTATTTCAGCCGCTTCAGCAAGTTTCTGTTACTTTGCGACATTGAGGCCGCATTCACACAGATTAGACTTATCGACGCGCATAAAGACCTGTGCCGCTTTCTTTGGCTGAAAGATACACTAAACCTGTTATGAGGTCAAACATAATAGAGTACCGCTTTAATCGCTTGCCATTCGGTATCACTGCGTCACCTAGTGTTCTTAATATGGCACTTCTGGCATATTTACGCTCATCAGGGACAGAATTATCTGCAGAAATTAGCAGAAACTTATACGTGGATAACATTCTGCTCCAAGCGGAAACTGAGGAAGAGGTGCTTCGCAAATACAAAGAGTCGAAAAAACTTATTTGCAAAGATTGGGATGAATCTCCGAGAATATGTTTCTAATTCAAGGGAGGTCAATTTGGCCATACCAAGAAACGACCGCGCCCCATCGGGAAAAATGAAAATCCTTGGCGTTGACTATGACACAGAGACCGACCAATTCACCGTAAAAACTAACTTTGAAATAAAGTCGAACGCTCACCAAAAGGGAAATAGTGAGTCAAATCAATTCTGTGTACGACCCGCTCGGTCTTGCCGCACCGTTATTAATTAACCTCAAATCACTGATGAGAGAAGTCTTTACCTCCCATCCAAAATGGGATGACCGCATCTCGAAAGCACTCCACGAAAAATGGAATGTGTTAATATCCTCAATCAATAACGTCGAAATAACAATCCCAAGAGCGCTGACTATGGAAAATAGACTCTTGGAGGATGCTTGCTTATGGGTTTTTGCCGACGCAAGCAAGGAAGCTATAGCGACGTGCTCATATTTAGTCTATAAAGACAAAATGACTAGTCAACTTGTAAGTGGAAAAACCAAGCTGTCACCAAAGAAGGCACAACAAACAATACCAAGGCTGGAACTGCTTGGATTACTGATTGCCCTGCGTCTTGGAAATTCTATCTTACAAGCGAACAATCACTGCGTAAAAGAGATAACTTTAGTAAGTGATAGCGAGATCGCACTATGTTGGATCAGATCAAATCGAAAACTGCCAATGTTTGTGGCAAACCAGTGTGATCGAATCAGAAAAATCAAGGCTATCCTCGAGGAAAAGCAATGTAGCGTGCGATTCATGCACGTACCAACCTCTTTGAATCCCGCTGATGCCGGTACCAGGGGACTCACCTCCATGGATATGCAACAGCACATGTGGATTCAAGGCCCTCGGTGGCTATCATGCAGCAAGACAGCAGCATTGCTCAGACCGATCGATGAGCTCGCAACTCAAGAAAATGAAGATAGTCAAATCATTGCCGAGCTAGCAGGTATCACATTAGCTGGCTCATTGCAAAAAGAAGTGCTCGTGGATACATCACGGTTCTCCCGACTGAGCACTCTGTTAAGAACAGTAGCCAGAGTCGGAAAGACCCTTCCATAAATGGGTTATTCGTACTAACGAAAGAAGTACAGTGAATATCGAAGCCAGCTCAATCAAAAAGTTCGATGTAGAGGCTGGAATCACGGCCAATGACATACAGTCAGCCGAAAGAGCCTTACTTCAACAGATCCATAAAGGAATAGATTGTGATGAGCTTCAGAAACGATTCCACCATCAAAAAATCACGCGAGATTCCGAAGGAATTATAAGGCATGCGTCCAGGAATGCAAAATTCAGCATTGCCCAAAGGATGCTATTTCACCCATTTATCTTACCTCATGATGAATCCACTTTCTGCACTGATATTGGAAGACATTCACAAATCCAATGCACATTGCGGTAAAGACCATACCCTATCCTACTGAGAAATCGATTTTGGCTACCACGGCCATCAAGCCTAATTAAAAAGGTCATAAAGGAATTGCACGATCTTGCAAACGTTGGCAAGGTTTACCATTCGGTGCCCCAGAAATGCCACCACTCCCAAAGGATAGGGTAATGGTTACCAAACCCTTTGCAAACACGGCTTGTGATTTTATTGGCCCTTTTCTTGCAAAAAGTAGCGATAACATGTATGTGTGCCTTTATACCTGCCTGACTACCCGTGCTGTGCACCTCGAAGTAGTAGAAAACATGACTACAGGCGCATTTCTCAACAGTTTTATCCGCTTTGTGTCAAGAAGGGGTGTACCTACACTCATGCGAAGCGATTGCGGTTCTAATTTCAAACTCGGATCAAAAATGATCGTCGATATGTTTGAAAATAGCGAGAATAATGACAACCCCTTGATGTCATACTGTGCTTCCGTCGGTATCAGATGGATTTTCAACCCCCCAGCGAGTCCATGGATGGGCGGTGTTTGGGAGAGACTGGTCGGTTCGGTCAAAAAGTGCTTAAATAAAAGCGTCGGTCGGAAGAAGTTATTCTACACCGAAATGAACACGGTCATGACTAGAATAGAGGCTATCATAAACACTCGCCCTCTAACGAAAACAAATTTCACGGACATTTCCGAAATCCCTTTGAGACCGGTCGATTTCCTTCACGGAAATATGAAATTTTCACTCCCTCATTCTGATAGCGTCACAATTGATGACGAAGAATATGAACCGGACTTGATTCAAACAGTGAAACAGGCCAAGGAAGCGTTAGAATCGGCTGAGAAAATCACTACCAAATTTTGGGAGAGATGGAGCAATGAGTATCTGCTCTGCTTAAGAGATTCGCAAAAGCTACATCTCAAACAAAAAAGACACATCTCGAGATATGTCCCCGAAATCGGGGAGATTGTACTAATTGGTGAGGATTTTTTACCTCGTGGCAGCTGGTCCTATGGAAAGATTTGTTGAAGTTATTACGAGCGCTGATGGTCTTATAAGATCAGCGAAAGTACTTCTACCTAACAAAAAGACGCTTCATCGTCCGTTGAGTAAGCTCTATCCCTTTGAAATAAGAAGTGCTATCGAACAAAGAGCTGAGCTTTCTGTAACACCAAGACCTATTGAGAAAATCAAAGATATTCCTCGAGTGACTCTAGAAAGGCAGTCAAAAAATAGAGCTTACGAAGTTATTCGTGACTTTGAGAATAACCTCGAAGATACTCAAAATACGGTAGTTTCATCCGAAGCAAACGTAATCGATCATGCGATCAGCCCCATTCACAAGACTCGGTTGACCCAAAGGCGACCAGTCACTAATAACTCGGTACTATTGCCGATAGCAGTGTTCATGGCTATAATAAACTTAGCATCGGCACATACTATGCCCATCAAATGTTACGATGGACAGGTCATAATTCAGCCACCGAACAACACATTCAATCTATGTTTTAATAGAGAATGTAGAACATTCACAAACACAAGGGAGGAAATGAGATTCAACTTACCCGTATCACCAGTCAATGCTAAAGTAAATGTGAAATTGAGTGATACCACTTTCTCACAATCGATATCATGCGATCCTCCCGAATTCTGCCTGCAATCAAGCAGGATTCTCTCAAAATCATTGCTGGGGAACCCACATTGTTGGCCGGTCGGTGCTATAGTGTCGGTAGCGATAATATTGTTTATCATAATTGTTACAATTATGATCATTTATTGGACACTTAATTTTGTAACCCGGTCTAAGAGTCGGTGTGAACCAACAGGAATGGGCAAAAGATCAGCGGAATCACGCGAAATAGAAATGAATGTAATCCATTCGTATCGACCTGCACCTCTTAGCGGTCGTATCCCAATGGTAGCATGCGTGCTGTTTATGATAATCAGCTTAGGTAATTCTTGTCAACATGGATTGTCCAGACATCATACTGAACTTGTTTGTAATCAGGATGGAAAATGCTCCTACGAAATAGGGCGTGAAATTCTGTTTAACAGGTTACAAAGGAAACATTGCATCGAAATACACCTTCGAAACCGCACGGTTGGTATGCTAAGCATAGAGGTAAAAGCTGTGCACTTCACCTGCGTGAAAACATCAAAGTTTTTCACGAAGAATACGCAACATAAGATATTCTATTCCCACCGTTGTTCAGGGATGGGATCATGTATAGCGAGGAAATGCGACTTACTACAACCTAATGAAACAGTCCCAGAACTACGTAGATCAAGACCTTACCCAGGCTACTCTGCCTGTGATCATTCAAGTGGAGGAATACTCTCTGGATGTCTTTTACCGACACCCTCTTGCGTGTTCTATAGAGTCGCCCATATCCCGATCACTAAAGATGTGTATGAGGTATTCGAATGTCAAGATTGGTCTCCATCCATACACTTGGAGATATTAGGCAACATCTTTGGTAAAACGACTCAAGAGCGTTACAACATACTGCCGTATCAAGGCGACAGACGTGAAGATTATGAATGTCACGGCAGTCACAGTGCAGATGCCCTCACACTCGCCAATGAATAAAAAATTTGCTCAGTCGGAAAGTGAGACCATCATTCTTACCAGACTCGTTCCAAGTACCGGTCGTATGCCGCACAAGATACGATGCACAGAGAAAATTCAGTAAGTGTGAAAACAAGGATGACCTGCAGTTGTAGTACTGGAACATCTCCTCACATTTGTGAATGCAATAAGGAATCGATCGGTCATATACGCTTGGAGGACTCCCAATCGTTTACCGCTGAAGACAGGTTCTATGGAAATATACCCTCAAGGCACTGACCTTGTAGTAGATTCCTTAGAAGAAATAACTCTATATATAAGATCTAGTATGCTAACCAATAGCTCTGAATTGGTCGTTGACGACCAGTGCACGGCCCAGGTAAGTGAGCTGTCTGGGTGCTTACGATTGCTTACATGGAGCACGGATAAAAGTGTCCTGCAGTTCACATTACAATCAGTTGCTGAAATCAAGTGCAGTAACTTCACAACAATTGTTAAATGTAGTGCGGAGAATATAACAACAGAGCTGAATCTGAACTTCAACGAGGCTCTGGTCGAAGATTCATGTTATATATCATGCGGCAATTCCAAGTCTAAAATTGCACTTAGAGGTCACTTGTTTTACCACCCGGTTTCAAATGATTCTATATTTCTCCACAATTCTGAGGAAGGACAGGTGAGCATGTTCGATTTCTCTCAGTTTCATCTCCCTGATTTGAGGCCATTACTCAAAACAATCAAGGATCACTGGAAAACGGCTGTACTCATTGCCGTAACTGTTACAGCAGTTACCGGTCTAGTATATTTATTTGGACCAATAGCAATCATTATATTATTCAAAGTTTTGTGGGCTACAATCAAATGCATTTTAGCTCCATGCGGCGCATTATGTACATCTGCCCGGTCGGTTCCTTCAAACGCATAGCCGTATCGTAGATGAAGGACGAACCGACATCAAAAATTTTCTTTCAAGTTCTACAACAGGCACTTTAAGGCACTTACGGGTATATCTGAGGCACTTATATTGCATAGTATATTTACATTTTTCCCTACGGAACATTTCTTTGAGTAAAAGGTGTATATAAGCACAGCACCGGCACAACTCCGCATATGGATCTGTCAGACGTTAGCGATATGCTCGATCAAGCCGAAACAACTACGTCTCCTTCAACCGCCGATGTCCTCACTGCTATTGGACACGTGGTCGGTCGACTGCACAACCTGGAGCTGGCTGTCAACGAGCTGCTGAAGCGGTCTGAGCCGCGGTCATCCTGTATTTTCTGCCCCTTAGCAGAGAACCGTGACGGTCATAATACGCCACGGTGCAACCGCTTTCCTGATGCGGTTGCAAAAAGCATGCAGGTGGCGAGGCTCGGCCTTTGTGGTCGTTGCCTCAAGCCAGCTCATGCTGACGACGACGACTGTGGTGTACAGTGCGCAGCGTGTGGGAGACCACACAACGTGCTACTGTGCGCCAATCGTGGACAAGCTGGCTTCAAGAGGCGACGACAAAACTGATGCGAACGATGGTTATGGGCAAGCTAAGAAGACGTCGGCAGAAAGAAATTTTTTTTGTGTTGTACTATATAGATATTATTGTTGTGGCTGGCGGGAGTGTTCTGGCCTAGGCCAGAACCCGCGGTCACCCCCGCTCCTTGGGGGCGGGGCTTAGGCATTCTCAGGTTCTGTTCTGCCCGCAACAGGGTACATTACTTTCTGTCTTAAGGATAAAAATCTTGTC